GACCGTACGGGAGGTACTGGATCTGATCGCTGTATGGGGAGACAATTCCGTGCTAGCAGAACTACGTTCCAAAAGACGAAATGCCAAAACATTTGAAAAAATCTCCAAGGGCATGATGGAGAGAGGCCACAATAGGGACTCACTACAGTGCCGCGTGAAAGTTAAGGAGCTCAGACAAGTGTACCAGAAAACCAAAGAAGGTCCGGGGCAGAGCCGCAGACATGCCGCTTCTACGCTGAGCTGCATGCAATTCTGGGGGGGGGGGGGGGCCCCTCCCCCCCCCCGCCCGTGGATTGCGATGAGGGGTTACTCTCAGCCGTGCCTGAGGATTTTGAGGACGGGGAAGATGAGGAGGAGGAGGACGAGCTTGCGGAGAGCACACAGCACACCGTTCGCCCCAACAGCCAGGATCTTTTTCGCAGCCTGACTGAAGTAGCCTCCCAGCCCTCCCAAGGCGGTATCCTGGACCATGAAGCCATAGAAGGTACCTCTGGTGAGTGTACCTTTGTAAATATAAAACATGGCTTAAAAGCAAGCGTTTTTAATGATTAATTTGCTCTGAGGACTTGGGATGCATTCGCAGCCAGTACAGCTACTGGAAAAGTCTGTTAACGTGTCTGGGGATGGAGCGGAAATCCTCCAGGGACATCTCCATGAAGCTCTCCTGGAGGTACTCCAAAAGCCTTTGCAGAAGGTTTCTGGGGAGGGTAGCCTTATTCCGTCCTGCATGGTAGGACACTTTACCACGCCATGCTAGTAGCAAGTAATCTGGTATCATTGCATGACAAAGCCCGGCAGCGTATTGTCCCGGTGTTTGCTGGCATTCAAGCAACATCCGTTCTTTATCTCGCTGTGTTATCCTCAGGAGAGTGATATCGTTCATGGTAACCTGGTTGAAATACGGGAATTTAATTAAGGGGACAGAGGTGGCCATTCCTACTGGGCTGTTTGCCTGTGGCTGAAAATAAATTCTTCCCTGCAGTTAGCCAAGCGGTTGGGGGGGGGGCATTGGCGCTGAGCTGTTTGCGTTTGGCTAGCAGGGATCTTCCCTGATACCAGCCACGCAGTGAGGGGAGGGGTAAAGCGATCATCCCAGAGAATTGGATGGGGGGGGCGTTAGTTTAGTTTCTGCTGCTGCACATTAACACAAAAACCACAGCACTCACCGGGCTTTGCTTGGTATGGGAAAGGAGGGGGCTGCTTTTATGAAGGTTGCAAAAGCCAAAAGACAATGGCTTACCATGGCCACATGCAAGCCGAATTCTGTTGCCCAGCCCTGCGTCTGTGATCTCTAACACCAAAGCCGCAGGCACTCAATATTAAGATGCAAAATGCGACCTTGTACCGAAATCACATGTGCTATGTAATGTGAATAGTATTGTTCACCGTGAAAGAGTATACCCATTGTTCTTTAAAATGTATCTTTTTAAATACTTCTCTCCCTTTTTTCCCTCCCGCAGCTGCAAATTTTTCAAGTCTCTCTCCTCCGTCCCGAAGGCTATCTCAGCTAAGGCGGCAAAAAAAAACACACACAAGATGAAATGTTCTCTGAGATCATGCAGTCGACCTGCAATGAAAGAGCTCATCTGAATGAGTGGAAGGACACAGTATCACAGTACAGGAAAGCGGCCAATGAACGTGAGTACAGGAGGGATGACCGTGGGGACAGGAGGGATGAACGTGAGGACAGGAGGGATGCTCAAGATGAGAGGTGGCGGCAGGAAGATCAGAGGAGGCAGGATGCAACGCTGGGATTACTGCGGGATCAAACGGACATACTCCGGCATCTGGTGGAGCTTCAGGAACGGCAGCAGGATCACAGAGTGCCGCTTCAGCCCCGGTATAACCGCCCTCCCCAAGTTCCATAGCCTCCTCACCCAGATGCCCAAGAATGCGGGGGAGGGGGGGAAGGCTCCGTGCACCCTGCCACTCCACCCCAGTGGACAGCCCAAGCAAAAGGCTGTCATTCAACAAGTTTTGAAGTGGCCTTTTCCTTCCCTCCTCCCCTCCTCCCACACCCCACCCAGGCTACCTTGTCAGTTCTCTCCCTATTTTTATATTCAATTCATAAAGAATACATGGTTTTTAAATGATAGTGACTTTATTTCCTTTGAAAGCAAGCTGTGATTAAAGGGGGTAGGGTGGGTGGCTTACAGGGAATGAGTCAATCAAGGGGGCGGGTTTTCATCAAGGAGAAACAAACAGAACTTTCACACCGTAGCCTAGCTAGTCATGAAACTGGTTTTCAAAGCTTCTCTGATGCGCAGCGCTTCCTGGTGTGCTCTTCGAATCGCCCTGGTGTCTGGCTGCACGTAATCAGCGGCCAGGTGATTTACCTCAACATCCCACCCCGCCATAAACGTCTCCCCCTTACTCTCACAGATTGTGGAGCACACAGTAAGCAGCAATAACAATAGGAATATTGTTTTTGTTGAGGTCTGAGCGAGTCAGTAAAGTGCGCCAGCGACCCTTTAAACGTCCAAATGCACATTCTACCACCATTCTGCACTTGCTCAGCCTATAGTTGAACAGCTCCTGACTACTGTCCAGGCTGCCTGTGTATGGCTTCATGAGCCATGGCATTAAGGGATAGGCTGGGTCCCCAAGGATAACTATAGGCATGTCAACATCCCCAACAGTGGCTGTCCTCATCACTTTCGTCGCTGCGCTGCCGTCACCACCGCCTCCTCGCCTGGTTTTTCAGGTTCTGGTTCAGCATAAACTGCACGATAATGCGCGAGGTGTTTACAATGTTCATGACTGCTGCCTTGAGCTGAGCAGGCTCCATGCTTGCCATGGTATGGCGTCTGCACAGGTAACCCAGGAAAAAAGGCGTGAAACGGTTGTCTGACATTGCTTTCACGGAGGGAGGGAGGGAGGGAGAGGGGGGCCTGACGACATGTACCCAGAACCACCCGCGACAATGTTTTTTGCCCCATCAGGCATTGGGATCTCAACCCAGAATTCCAATGGGCGGGGGAGACTGCGGGAACTATGGGATAGCTATGGGATAGCTACCCACAGTGCAACAATCCGGAAGTCGACGCTAGCCTCGGTACTATGGACGCACACCGCTGAATTAATGTGCTTAGTGTGGCTGCATGCACTCGACTTTATACAATCTGTTTCCAAAAATCGAATTCTATAAAATCGGAGTAATCCCATAGTATTTAAGTTATATATAGGCTTGGCAGAATTTTTTAAATTTCAACTGATAATATAGATTTTTTTAAACATACTTTTAGATTTTTATAGATTTAAATTTTCACAGTTCAGAATTATGGAGCGGTCAGACAATAATTATTAAATGACAGTAGATATTGTGATTACAAAGTTAAAGCTTTACTAACCATTAAAATACATCACATGTTGAAATATACAAAGTAAATATCCTTAAATCACACTCTATAAGTTATCAAGAAGCATTTTTCTTACTTTGCCTACCTGTACATTTAAATAATTATTGATAGAAATATTTGAATTGGTTTGTGTGTGTGCTGTGAAATTATTTACCAACATTTATCAATAAAAATCGAATCCATCCAAGCCTATCACATTCTCTTAGTTTTAGTCCCACTTTTTTCCCTGTACAAATGTTTACATGCCTGTCACAGCGTCACTGCAAACTTTCAGTGTCTTTGTGCTGCCATATTGATAATCATTGTGACCTCTATCAACAGACAGGCTGAACTAGAGCAATTCAAGATTTACATTTCTTACGGCTTTCCACTGGTATACCAAACATACATCCAGAAACACAGGCCTACTAACTAGATTATTCTGATGAGTAGACAAGTTAAATACTTTACTGGAGCTGCAACAACATAGTCACACCACAGCAAAGTGGACAGTGTGGAAAAATTAAGTTGAGTCATTGATATTTTATGGTGAATGATTTTTCAAGCAATGATTTAAAATGATAGCAACTTATCCACCTTTAGCCAAAACTGCATAGCCTTACAGATCAAAATTTTAACTATTTCCTATGTGTTTGACCATTTAAATACCAAGGATGTCACGTGGGCTTACATCATGGGTTAAATCAATGGTTCCGCTACTTGCGGTTCAATCAGCACACGGCTACAGCCCATGTGACATCCTCAGGGCCACAAAGGTAGCATATATATTGCATGGATGCAGCCCACACAGAGAGCTGCATATGTGGCCCACAATGGAAAATAGGTTGAGAACCACACTGGATTATATTAGGCTGCTTGCAGAAGTGGGGAAGGTTCTGCAGGCTCACCCTTCCCCCCCATGCTGCTACTTCTAGGGGAAAGGGGAGGCCAAGAAGTTCTCAGAACATTGCAGGGGTGGGGGGTCAGAACCGTGCAGAGAAAGGTGAGAGGTGGCAAATTCTGAAAGAGAGACTTTCCTCTTCTGGCAGAATTTGCTACCTTGATGCTTGTTTCTCTCCTTTTTTTAATGGAGATGCAAAAAAAGGCATCTTCGGTGTCCGTTTTTGATATGTAGCAAAGTGTGCAGAGGAAGCAGTTTCTGACACTATATTCGGGCAGCAAAGGCATTCATCCCAGCAGTCCGGGGAAGGGGGGTGAGGGCCCCCAGGACAGCTGAGCGCATCCTGCAGGCTCCAGGCTGGGTCACGGCTCCTCTGCAAACAAAAAGGACAGCACTTGGCCAGATCCGTGGGCGTGTGGGGGAGGAGGGGAGAACAAATCAGCTAGAGCTGTGGGGCCGCTCACAGGGTGTTTGTGACACTCGGTGGATTAAGCTCTGGCTAGGAAAACCCTCCCCAGACAAGAGCCCCTGATCCCAGACAGGGAGGGGAGGGGGACAGACCCACTGGGGAGGGAGAGTAGGGCTGGGGAGTGGGGGAAGGAGGGGAGGGCCGTGTGTGTGGCGGGGGGAGGGGGGAGGTCAGCATGCCTGGGTTCTTCCCAGCTCTGGAAAAGATAACTCCAGTCCCTGCCTGGGACGTGCTGCAGCCCGGGTTGGTATCTAAGGGCACAGGAAGACGACAGAGCAGCAGCAGCAATCAAAGGCCCTGCAGCTTGTTGCAAGATGTTTCTGCTGCTCTTGCTGCGCCTGCCGACACCAGCCCCTGCAGGGGAGATGCCAGGTGACTGGGAGAGAACTGGGGGAAGTGGAGGGGACTGGGCAGGAAAATGACTCTCTGCACAAGACAACCCTGCCAGGGATGCTGGGACGATTTGTGCAGTGGGGGTGCTGAGAACTATTGAACCAAACTGTAAACTCTGCATGTGATGGACACCACTTCAAGACGGGGTGCTGCCGGCCCCCCCTCCCCCCAGTCCTGTTTGTTAATGCAGCCCAGGCGGGATCTCACCTGCCTTAACAATGAAGTCACTGCGCTCCTCTGCCTGGGGTCTGCTCCAGGAGCAAAACCAGGGGATTCAGAGGAGGAAAGGGGAGCACAGTGGTTCAGAGGGGCTGCATTGGGGTCATGAATGGGCTCCGCTGGGGGGTTCTCTTTTGTGTCTCTGTCTGGCAAGCAGAGATGTCAGGAAGGAAAGGGGTGAAAAATCAGACAGGGATGAATAGAAAAAAGGAGGGAGGGAATGGGGGGTGGACAACAAGAAATGTGTCAGATTTTGACCATCTTTGCACATTTAGGGAAGTAACAGGGAGAGAAGAGTGGGTGGCACAGAGAAGAGAGGAGAGGGATTATTCATAGTTTTAAAAATCTCTCCACATTATCAAGCCCCTGAGAAATAACCATGGGGTTCATTCCGATTCCACAGAAGCCAGTAAACCTCCCCAGTGTTAAAGTGCTGAGCGGGATATGTTTTCTCCATCCAACACATCATGTGTAACCTGGCTTGGACTGAGGGTTCCTTCCTGCAAATCATGTGACATTTTCTAAAATGATGCATATGGTTTTCTTGGAAGGATCAGGCCCTTAATGGTTTTGCTAATCGGAGGAAACTGGCTATTCCTTTCCGATGGCCAAAGGCAGAGTGAGGGGATTCTAAATAGCCAACTCTTCAGGGAATATATTGTGTTTCAAAACAAGCCTGTAATTTCCAATAATAAATCTCTGTTTGACACTCCCAGGACTTCACCACAGCTCTACAAATAAGGATGCTTTGCCAGGGAGAAAAGGGCTGCCAAAGTTCATTTCCAAAGGGCTACATTTCAGTCCCCAGTGTTAGCATATTATGTACCCATCAGCATGTTGTTCATTACTATAATAAACTAGTGGCAAAAAGGTGTGATTAGAACGTTGTGGGAAAGAGATCTTTAGCCAGATCCTGCTGCCTTCAGCCTAATCCTTATAGCTGCTCAATTGCAACTTAGATGAGCTGGTGAGAAGATGCACCCAGGGTTTTTAAGAATGACTTTATAAAACAAAACAAAAAAAAACTGGTTTTCTCTTTGCTTCCTTGTGTACATTAAAAAAAGACCTGGATGGGATTTTCTTCATCTTTTCTTAGTATTACAAAAGAGTCTTAAGCCTAAAAGACTCTGTGGAGGATTGGAGCATTAGTAAGTTTATAACATTCAAGAATTTTTTTTTTATGGCAAATTACACCTGATTCTTTCCCAGGATTTTTGGCTGAGCTTGTGAGGGCCTGCATTCAGCTCGATATCATTTTCTAGTCTGTCTGTAACACGTTAACTTTTGAATGCCGCATCTGATCGATTCCAGGATTTCAGAGAATGTTCTAGGACTCAAAGGACAGAACCCTATTGATTTGGGTGAAATCTGGAAAACCAAAAGAGTGAAACTGGGGACACAAGGAGTCCCTGGCATGTCCCCATTCTCCTCTCTGTGACACACAGAACCCCTGGCATTGGGGTTCTAGGGAGTCTTTGAAATTGAAGGGGATGGGAGTGTAGACCGCAGGGCACTTGTGGGGGAGAATGGATAAGAGCAAGGAAACGCTGGTGTGCAATGAACTTGGTCTAAAGAAGCACCAAAGTGCGTAACCCTCTGGTAGATAAATGGTCAGTTGCAGGTGAGGAGGGGGCGTCTTTATTTAAAAATGAAAACAATAATTCTGTTTGTTTATTTTCCTCCAGAGACATATAATGGCGGTTAAGTCTTGTCTCTCCTGTTGTTGGTGGGGGCTGTTGGATGATTCCCAAGTGTAGTGGGAGCTTTCGGACAAACAGATTTTTTCCTCAAAGTGGTTGGGGCTAAATGTTACAGAAATAAACTAATGCAAAACTGTCCCAATAAAAATCACTTCCATTTTCAATCAAGTCACGTGGGGCCTGATTTTTCAGAGGTGCTGAGCCTCCACAGCTCACATTGACTTCAGCTGGAGTGGTGGGTGCTGCGCAGCACCTCTGAAAATACAGCCCCAAGATACTGCAATGATGGGTGCTAAAAAAATTAATTCAGTTTAAAAAAGGGGACACAAGCTATCTTGCTTCTGTAGTAGGAACTGATTGCACATATCTAGAGCTCCCTGCATACCTCAATTCCCCTCCCCTGTCCCCCTCTATTTCAAGGACTCCCTGCAACATTTTAAACTCTATTTGGGCAAAGGGCAGAGCTGAGTTGGGACTGTTGCTTTAGTGGAAGGCGTCAATGGCTGCCATCAACCAGATCTATAGACAATTACAGTCCTGGTTAAAGGTGATGTGTGTGCTAACCAGATGTCATGGGCTCCAATTATGTGTCTCCTCTTTCCCCCTTCCTATTTTCTGATCTTCCTATCCACTGATGGCGAGAATATTTCCTGACATTTTGGAATTGATCGGCTGCCGTGTTCAAAAGCTATTAGTACATCCAAACAGAGAAATACCATCATGTTGAGTGTGGGCCTGGCTTTGCTTGGCCAATTATCCTTCTCAGATTTTGCTCTATTTTCTCACTAATAATTTTCAATTCTCAATATAAAATCTCAGATGGGAGAGGAGGTTCTACCCTTTTTAGCTATAGTCACTTACCCTTGTTTCAACAGGAAACTGTTTTCCCATTTATGTACATTAAAATTAACATATTTGCTGTCTTGCCCATATTTAATGAACATAAAAGCCAGGAGCTTCCCCCTATTCATAGTCTGCCCTTTATCTTCAAGGCACTCAGTCTAGAACCAGGAATCCTAAAGATTGCCTGACGCTCTGGGATAATGACCAGCTCGGCTCCTCAGGCAAAAGGAGTCTGTCTGTGGCAGAGGGAAAGCTCTTCTGTGCAGGAGACCGCTTTCTCCGGCCATGGGACAAACGCCCACAGGAGCTCAAAACCACCACAAACATCCCCCATCTGCATTCCCAGTGCCAGTTGGCTTCTTAGACCTGCTTTCAGTAACCAGCCCACAAACTGCGGCTGGCATCCGAGGCCTGGATCCACAAAAGGGCTTAGGTAACAACACTGTGATCCACAAAGCCTGCGTTAGTCCCCTAGGCTCCCTGTCCAATGAAAGGGGAGCGATAGGTGCTTAGAATAGGCTCCACAAAAGCCAGACTGGAGCCGCCTAAGTTAGCCCATGGGAGAAGCTGATGAGAGGGATGTGTCCTAAACACCACACCTCACTTGGAGTTCAGCACCTGGAGGCGCCAACCTGCTTGTGATCCACAAACTAGGGAGAAATCAGGGCTTCTCCGTTTGCAGAGACCAGATCTGTTAGTGTGCGCAGAGGCAAACAAACACCTCCCAGAACAGCCAGGAGAGGAGGATTGTGCCTCTCTTAGGCCTGGTCTACACTGGGGGGATCGACCTAAGATACGCAACTTCAGCTACGAGAATAACATAGCTGAAGTCGACGTATCTTAGGTCAATTTACCTTGTGTCCACACGGTGCGGGGTCAACTGCCGCTGCTCCCTTGTCGACTCCGCTTCCTCCTCTCGCCGCGGTGGAGTACAGGAGTCGACGGCAGAGCGATCAGAGATCGATTTATCGCGTCTACACTAGACACGATAAATCGATCCCCGATAGATCTATCACTACCCGCCGATCCGCGGGTAGTGTAGACGTACCCTAATAATCTTTAGCCTGCTGGTTAGGGTACTTGGGAGTCCCAGGTTCGAGTCTGCTACCCCTACGGAGAGTGCTGTAATGACTGGGCTAGGGGACATTCTGATGTGGGCCCTCCCTCCATCTCTCCTAATGAAGTTGTTCCACTTTAATTAAATAATTAATATTAATTGGCCCAGAGAAAGAGAGTGAGAATCAGAAGTTAGCACACTCTCCTGAGACATAGAAGACCCTTGTTCAACGTCCTTCTCATCAGGCAGATAGGAGGCTTGAACTGCTGGTCTCCCACATCCCAGATGAGTACGCTCACCAGCAGGCTAAATATTATAAGTGAGAGTGTCCTCCCTTGTCCCTACCAAGATCTTTCGTGTAGATATAGGCGACCTCTGCATACAGGACCTGCTTATGACTTAGGCAGCCAAAAGTCTCTTTTCCCCCAATTCATGGATCACTCAGGGTGGGAGATAAGGGTCTAGACACCTAGAGTGAGGCAGCAGTGCGCACGCTCAGAGACAGAAACATATGGTAGGTGCCTAGGGGACTTTTTACTGCAAAATCTTAGGTTGAGAGTGAGTTTAGGCACCTACAGGGTGTGGCAGCAGCAGAGCAGAGGTTTCGTGGATTGCAATGGTACCTAAAAGTGAGACTTGGGTGGATCCGGGCCCAAATAAATAAATAAAACATTAAATTTAACCTCCTCCCCCCACTCACACGCTTCTCATTGGGGAGAAAGAGAGAATCAGTCCTAACAAATGCAAGTCGTGAGGCTGGGGCCTGGATAGACAGTGCTGGGACCCTGTGGGGATGAGGGCGCTGTAGAACGTGGGGGAGTGGCACCACCCAGCTGCTTACGGGGCAGTTGGCTGGACCCCGGCTGACTGGGGTTAAACTTCCAACTAATTATTAAATACAATAGAACTCCTATTTCATGAAGTAATTTTTATTGAGGAGTTCATAGAAGTGAATGTCTTAATATTACATTGCTTTGTTCTTGTCTTTCAAACCACTGCAAGGCAATTTCCAAGGCATCAGAATGGGCAGAGATGTCAACATGTTCTTCATTAATATCACTTTCATTATATAAATTTATTTTCTATCAGAAAAATGATTTCATGTAACTGGACATTCTTAAGACGGGGGTTGATAGAATCTAAGTTCTACTGCGTGGATATAAAAATCCTCTACAGATTTTTCTCCATTTTCACAAACTTATTGAATATTATTAACACACCAACTGCCCCTACCCTGCTACCGCCACCTCCCACTGCAATGCCACCTTCTGGTTAACTTCCCCGCTCCAAATTGCCTGGGACCTTCCAGCTCCATTCTCCCCAGTGCCGGCTCTAGGCACCAGCTAAACAAGCTGGTGCTTGGGGCGGCACATCTTTAGGGGCGGCATGGCCGGCGCCAGAATGCTGCCCCTAAAAATGTGCCCTGGCCGCCCTAGCTCACCTCCGCTGCCGCTCGCGTGCCGCTACTCGCCCTCCCTCCCAAGCTTGAGAGCCTGGGAGGAAGGGGGAGAAGCGGCGCCCGCGCCGCGGCCACTCGGAGTCTCCCCCTCCCTCCCAGGCTCTCCAACCTGGGAGGGAAGGGGAGATCCCGAGCGGCCGTTTCGCGCGCCGCTGCTCCCCCTCCCTCCCAGACTTGAGAGCCTGGGGGGAGGAGGCAGGGCTGGGGATTTGGGGAAGGCGCGGAGTTGAGGCGGGGCCGGGGGTGGGGGTAATTAAAAAACGGGGTGGGGGCAGCCAAAATTGTTTTTGCCTTGGGCGGCAAAAATCCTAGAGCCGGCCCTGATTCTCCCACCCCTTTTGCCTGCTTCTCCTGTGAAAGCATCATCATCCAGGACTCCTGGCTGTCCATGTGAATGGCAGAAGGGTGCAGGAAGTGAGGAGAACCAGCACTTTCTAATTACTTATTGACTACTCATATAAAATCCCCTCAGATTTTGTCCCTATCTCTCTCACTATCAAATATGGGTGAGAAATCTCCACAGATTTCCCTCTTCCCCTCTCTTAATTATTCAGTATGGACACAAACGCTCCTCATTTTGTGCTTTTTAATCTCTAATTATCAAATATTGATATAAAATTGCCTTTAGATTTTGCCATTATCCAGATAATTGTTGAATATTGGTAGAAAAAAGCTATTCAGTTTTCCCCTTTTTCTTTCTCTGATTACCAAAAAAAAAAAAAAAAAATCACATGAATTCCCCCAGGTTTTGCCTTTTTTTCCTCTCTCATTATGAAGATTAATGTCAAGTCCCCTCCAATTTTGCTATTTCTCCTCTAATTCTCAAATCCTGATATAACCCCCTCACTCAGATTTGGGGGGATGTCTTTGCTTTTTGAAATGCAGCAAATTCCCCTGATTTTAATTTGAAGGAAAACTGTTGCCCTGAGTCATTCCCCAGGTGGGATGAGGGGTGTCAGTGTGTCAAGTGGTTGGAATTTGGGAGAGCACTGGGATGTGTTTGACTGTGGGAACGTGGTGGCCATTCTCTTTATTGAATATTCATATAAAATCCCCTCCGATTTTTCTCCTTTTCTCTCACACAATTGGAGATTGCTGCTGCTTTTTTTCTCATATTATTGAATATTTAGATTTTAGCCAATTTTCTCCCAAGTGATCAAATATTAACATATTATCCTCTAAAATTATGCCCCATTTTATAGGTTGCTATTAATGATTTAACATCCCTCTGATTTTGCTTTGTCTCTCTAGTTACCTGATATTAATATTAAATCTCTTCAGATTTTGCACCTTTCTCTCCAATTTTTGAATATTGATATAAAATAACACTCTGATTTTGACCCATCACCTATTATCAAATAGTGATATAAAATCTCTCAAACTTCCCCACTCTCTCATCTAATTATTGAATATCGTTCTAACACCTCTCATTGCTCTTTAACTGTTAAACGTGAATATCAAATCTCGTCAAATTTTGCCATTTTCTCTCTAATGATTGAATGTTGACATAAAATCTGTTCAAATTTTGCTGTTCTTTTTCTCCATTTATGGAACACTGATTTAAACATCTTCTCAGATTGGGTACTTTTCCCAGGCTTTTTTAACTTCAGCACCTTCTCTTCATTTTTGAGGGAAACTTGCCCTGAGTCAGTAACCCAGATTGGAGGGCCAAACAGGGCAAGTGGGTGGGGAAAGTGCCCTCAACTGAGATTGTCCAGCCCCAGTTTTCCTTCTCACAGCTCCTGCCAGCCCAACTCACCTCCCCCCAACTTTGAGCTGCCAGTCAGTCACCTGCCCCTGCCCCACTGCTGCCCCCTCCAACCATCACAGAACCTTCCGTCTCCATCCTTCTCCCCTCAGCCTCTAGTAAAGCGGTGGGGGCCAGGGCTCCCTGCTGCCCGTGTCAATTGGGAATAAGCACTTGCTGTTTATTTACCAAATATTTATATAAAATCTCAGATTTTGCACTTTTCTCTCAAATTATTGAATATTGATATAAAATCCCCTCAAGGACAATGTCGGGGGGATCCCTCTTTGATTCTGCTCTTTTCTAGCATTTGCTTCAGAGACTCTATTCCTGGGGAGGGAGGGGGGTTGATTTAAAAATATCTTGGTGGGTTTAGTCCTGGTGAGAGGGTCCAGGTGTGTGCAGTAGTAAAGTGACCCAGGGTTTTTCCTGAATCACAGTCTAGAGTGTCTGTCTGCAGAGAAAGACCCTGTGGAGACTAGGGGAGTGAAATGGACTAGAGCCCCTTCTGAAACCTCCCTTCTCGCCCTGACAGGTTGCAGAATAATGTCCGTGTTTCACTCCGGATCGTCCCATCCTCTTGGGGGACGGGAAAGGGAAATGACTGCAGTAGCAGCGGCTCAGGTAGGGGTTTTCCAGTGCACAGCAGAGCGGGTATGTGCTGGGAAGGAGACCAAGGCAGTAAATACACAAGGGTGAGGAATGTGAAAGGGGCATGCACACCTGCCGCCCCAGGAGAGATCATAGAATCACAGAAATGTTGGGCTGGAAGGGACTGTGACAAGTCATTTAGTCCAGCCTCCTGCACTGAGGCAGGACCGAGTCAACCTAGACTATCCCTGGCAGGTGTTTGTCCAACCTGTTCTTCAAAACCTCCAATGATGTGGATTCCCCAACCTCCCTTGGAAGCCTTTTCCAGAGCTTATCTACCCTTATTATTAGAATGTTTTTCCTAATATCTGACCTAAATCTCCCTTGCTGCAGATTAGCCCATTACTTCTTGTCCTACCTTCAGTGGCCATGGAGAACAATTGATCTCCATCCTCTTTATAAACAGTCCTTCACATATCTGAAGACTGTTATCAGGTCCCCCTTTAGTCTTCTTTTCTCCGGACTAAACATACCCAGTTTTATTAACCTTTCTGTAGAGATCCGGTTTTCTAAAGCTTTCATCATTTTTGTTGCTTTCCTCTGGACTCTCTCCAGTTTGTCCCCATTTTTCCGAAAGCGCAGCACCCAAAACTGGACATAGCACTCCACCTGAGGGCTCATCAGTACCAAGTAGAGTGGGACAGTTACCTCGCCTGTCTTACACAGAACACTCCTGTTAATAGACCCCAGAATGATATTAGTCATTTTTGCAACTGCATCACATTGCTGATTCATATTCAGTTTATGATCCTCTGTAACCCGCACATCCTTTTCAGCAGTACAATGCATGCCCAGTTATTCCCCATTTTGTAGCTGTGCATTTGATTTTTCCTTCCTGAGAGTAGTACTTTGCACTTGTCTTTATTGAATTTCATCTTGTTGATTTCAGTCTAATTTGTCAAGGTCGTTTTGAATTCTAATCCTGTCCTCCAAAGTGATAACAACTCCTCCCATCTTGGTGTCATCTGCAGATTTTATAAGCATACTATCTACTCTATTATCCTAGTCATTAATGAAAACACTGAATAAGGATGGACCTCTATGGAACCGCAGTAGATACATGTGTCATCCCCCTCCCCCCCAGTTTGACAGTGAGCCATTGAGAACTACTCTTTGAGTATGGTCTTTCACCAATTTTGCACTCACCTTATAGTAATTTCAACTAGACCACATTTCCCTAATCTGCTTATGACAATGTCATGTGGGACTGTGTCAAAAGCCTTATTAAACTCTAGATATATCATGTTTACAGCTTTCCCCATATCTGCTAGGCCAATATCCCTGTCAAAGAAGAAATTTAGGTTGGTTTGGCATAATTTGTTCTTGAAGAATCCATGTTGGCTTATAACCCTATTATCTTCTTGGTGCTTACAAAATAATTGTTTAATTATTTGTTCCAGTATCTTTCCAGGCATTGAAGTTAGGATGACTGGTCAATAATTTTCCAGGCCCAGCTTTCCCCCCTTTTTAAAGATAGATACAATGTTTACCTTTCTCCAGTCCTCTGGGACCTCATCTGTCCTCCATGAGTGCTTGAAGATGATCACTAATGGTTCAGGAATTGCTTCAGCTAGTTCCTTAAGTATACTACAATTAATTTTATCAGGCCTTACCAACTTAAACACATCTAATTTATCTAAATATTTTTTAACCTGTTCTTCCCCTATTTTGGCTAACATTCCTTCCCCCTTGTTGTTAATATTAATTGTGTTAGTATCTGGTCACAATTAACCTTTTCAGTGAAGACTGAAACAAAATATGCCTTAAATGCATCAGCCTTCTTGGTGTCATCTGTTATTAGCGCTCCTTCCCAGCTAAGCAGAGGACCTACACTTTCCTTTATTTTTCTCTTGCTCCTGATGTATTTATAGAACTTTTTCTTATTGTTTTTCATGCCCCTTGCTTAGTGTCATTCATTTTGTGCCTTAGTCTTTCTGATTGTTGTCCCTTCATGGTTGTGCTATTCTTTTGTACTCATCCTTAGCCATTTGTCCATGGTTCCACTTTTTGTCAGATTCCTTTTTGATTTTCAGGTCATTAAAGAGTTCCTAGTGGAACTATATTGGCCTCTTACTGTTCTTCCTATCTTTCCTTCACATAGGAATAAGTTTGCTGTTGTACCTTAGATATTGTCTCTTTGCGAGACTGCCAGCTCTCCTGAACTCTTTTTTCCTTCATATTTTTTCCCAGGGGACCTTACCTACCTGTTCTCTGAGATTGTAAAAGTCGGCTCGTTTGAAGTCCATTGTCCTTAGAATCATGAAATCTACCATTTCATGATCACTTTCCCACAAATTGCCTTCAAAACTTCAGATTTGCAACCAATTTCCCCCTGTTAGTCAGAATTCATAGATTCCAGGGTCAGAAGAGACTATTGTGATCATCCACTCTGACCTCCTGTATAACTCAGGCCAAATTTCCCCAAAATAATTCCTAGAGACGATCTTTTAGAAAAAACATCCAAACTTGATTTTAAAATTGCCGGTGATGGAGCATCCACCATGATCCTCCGTAAATAATTCCAATGGTTATTTACTCTGACTGTTAAAAATGTATGCCATATTTCCAGTCTAAATTTGTTTAGTTCCAACTTCCAGCCATTGGATCATGTTATACCTTTGTCTACCAGAATGAAGAGCCGATTATCACATTTCTGTTCCCCATGTAGGTATGTATAGACTGTAATCAAGTCACCTTTTAACCTTCTCTTTGTCAAGATAAATAGATTGAGCTCCTTGGGTCTTTCACTATAAGGCAGGTTTTCTAATCCTTCAATCATTCTTATGGTTCTTCTCTGAACCCCCTCCAGTTTATCAGCTTCCTTGAATTGTGGACATCAGACATCAGAACTGGACACAGGCTTCTAGTAGTGGTGCACTAGTGCCAAATACAGAGGTAAGATAACCTCTCTGATCCTACTCGAGATCCCCCTGTTTATGCATCCAAGGATCACATTAGCTCTTTTGGCCACAGCATTGCACATGGAGCTTGTGTTCAGCTGATTATCCATCATGACCCCGAAATCTTTTTCAGAGTCACTGTTTCCCGGGGCAGAGTCCCCCATCCTGTAAGTATGGCCTGCATCCTTTGTTCCTAATCCTCCCCCTGTCTCCTCACATCCAGCTGCTGGGAATGGGGGAGGTGTTTGGGTTCCTACTAGGGCTCTATCCCTGGACCCTGCTGTGGGTCTTCATCTTTATCAGTAGGTGTGTGATAAAGGCGAATGACCCTCTCCCCCTGTGCTAGGAGTGACAAGGACTCTCTTTCTCCTCACACCCGGAAACTTCCGGGTTGCTCTGCATGCGATGGGATTGTTTTACTGTGCTCCTCCCAGAGCTTTTACTTTTTTTGGCCATCCTTCCCCGTCAATAGTGGGATTGGGGCTGGGGCAGCAGTTACCGAATGGGGTACAATTGTCATTTTCAGGAGCCGGTGACCTTCGAAGAGGTGGCTGTGTATTTCACCGAGGAGGAGTGGGCTCTGCTGGACCCGGGTCAGAGAGCCCTGTACAGGGATGTCATGCAGGAGAATTATGAGAATGTGACCTCGCTGGGTAAGGATCCCTGTCCCCTCGGGAAGTAGAAGCTGGAGGATGGGGGCTGTCTCTGAAGTCCCTGGTTGGCTTCTGGTCAAGGTTCTTTCCTGGTCCCTTAGATTTAAAGGGGATCAGGCTACACCCCCACCCAGCCTGCCTATGTGATAGCGGTGCCAGGCACAGCACGGAGGAACTCTTACTAGGGCAACTTCTTTGGTGACTGTCTGCTTCCTGCTAACTTGCCCCAGTACAGGGTTACACCCTTGTGTGAGAAACTTTTATTTTTTCCCAGCATGCTTTCCTGAGGCTGGCCCTTTTAAATTTACCAGAAACAACCAAGCCTCAGCCTGTTTTGCAACTCTCCACTGCTGGCTGAATCTCTCTCACATGGCTGGTACTGGTCTGTTTTCCCTTTGTCGGTGCTGAGGGGATGGCACGTTCTCCAGGTGCCCAGAATTCAATGAGAGAGACTGGCTTCCTCCGCACCTCCTCTCCAGGGTTAGGGGAGCAAGATACATATTGGAGATGCTAATTCCTCCAACCCCAGAGCTTTCAAAGGTCAGAAAGGTGGAATTTGCCTGTCCGTATGTAACACCGACAGATCCCAGTTGTCAGCGGGCGGGATTGAACCTGGGACCTCTGAAGCTAAATGCATGAGCCTCTACTGCATGAGCTAATAGCCATATGGCTCTTAGCTAAGGCTATAACAAACTCATTAATCTCTCTAAGTGGTCACGGTGCCATTAGAGGGGACAGAACACCACACCCAGAAGGTGTGTGGGTTACACGTAGTCACACCCCCATGTGCATACAAACTCTCTGTTTCCCCTCCCTTCTTGGCGCTGGCTCTATCCAGAGAGAGGTCTCTGGAGATTTAGAAGCAAGCAAAGGCTATGTCTTAGCGATCCAATTCCCCAGTGTCTGGAAGTCCTAAAGGTGCAACACCCCTCTCACCCCCACACACATACATGTGACTCCCAAAGAATCTCTGTGACCATGTTCCCATGCGTGTTCCACCAGCACAAACAGTGACTGGGTCAAAATTATTAAACTTTTTATGTGCAACCATTCTCCACACACGTTATTCACCTTGATCTCATAGAATCGTAGAGGATAAGACAGGAAGGGATACTGTAATTGTATAATCTGACCTCCAGTATAACACAAGCCATAGGACTTCTCACCTGTTTACTTTCCCCTTGAGCAGGATTTCCGAGTCCCAAACCTGAAGTGATCTCCCAGCTGGAACGGGGAGAAGAGCCGTGGTTCACGGATCTCCAGGGCTCAGAGGAAAGGGGAATCCTGAGATATAGCCATGCAGGTAAAGGTGTCAGTTAACATTGCTGAGTGAAGGAACAGCTGGGATTCTCACAAAGTCCTCATGTATGCTTCTAATTCTGGATTGTCTCCAGTAGGTGTCATATCCACAAAATATGTTATTCATGACTTCCCACGCACCCTGACTCACACCTGACATTAACTTCCTCCCTGCTGACCACCCTTTCCTCTGCATGTTCAGGTGGGATGTGGTGGCTCAATTGGTTCCCTCCTTTCTCTCAACTCTGGGAAAGGATTTGGGGGAATTCAACTCCTGAATTTTTTCATTTGCTCAACAATTAATTTGGTTTATTCCCACCCCCACCTTTGCATTTCTCCATTCTGAGTTTTCCTTACTTCTCAGCACAGAGAATGATTCATCTCTGGATTTTCTCTTTATCCCAACAGCTGATGGGATCAAGAATGAGCATGAAGAGGTGAATCCTCAGCTGGGAGGTCCTGAGCAAGTGGAACAGCATGGGACACTATTAGAAAGATCCAAAGGAAACATCTGTTGGAGTGTTGGGCAAGGAAAAACCTGTGAGAGTCAGTGTAGCACAGAAAGGCCACTGGGAAACCAGCCGGTGAAGAAAGTGGATAAATCCACTAATTGTGGGAGAGGTCTGAAGCACCTCAAGAAAACCAGAGTCCAGAGGATCCACATGGGAGAGAGACCAAGCACATGCAGTGAGTGTGGGAAAAGCTTCAGTAGTCATTCACACCTTCTTATACATCAAAGAATCCACACAGGAGAAAAGCCCTATAAATGCCCCCAGTGTGGGAAGAGCTTCAACCAGAGCCCAAACCTTGTTACACATCTAAGAATCCACACTGGAGAGCGACCCTATAAATGCCAGGAATGTGGGAAAAGCTTCACTGCAAACTCCACCTTTATTAAACACCAGAGAATCCACACAGGAGAAAAACCCTATAAATGCCCCGACTGCGGGAGAAGCTTCAATCAGAGCTCAGACCTTATTAGACATCAGAGACTCCATACGGGAGAGAAGCCCTTTAGCTGCCCCGACTGTGGAAAAAGATCCAGTGACAGCTCAGCCCTTATTGTACATCAGAGAATCCACACGGGAGAGAGACCCTATCGATGCCCTGTCTGTGGAAAAGGCTTCACTTGCTCTTCACACCTGATAACGCATCAGAGAACCCATACGGGAGAAAAACCATATAAATGTCCTTACTGTAGGCAAAGGTGTCGTGTAAAATCAGCCCTTATTATACACCAGAGAATCCACACAGGAGAGAGACCCTATAAGTGCCCCAGCTGTGGGAAGACCTTCAGCAGCCGTTCACATCTTAATTCTCATCAGAGAATCCACAAGAGAGAAATGCCTTGTAAAAACCCTGAGTGTGGGAAAAGCTGCACAGAAAGCTCACCCCTTATTATGCATTAGGAGGAGAACTGAATAATTGCCCTGATTAAGGCTAGCTAAGAACTTGTCGACACCTGAAATATATTTTGGATTACGTTTGTCCACTTTAATCCGGAATAACTGTTCTGAAAGCAGTACTACCACACTGCTTTGTTATGCCGGTTTAAGATCCTCCCCTTTTGAATAATTGAATCCACACAGCGCTGCATTCTGGGCAGATGTACCATGCTACTATGTTCTGCCGCTTGGCTCTGTGTATTCTGGGATTTTCTCCTGGTGCATTGTGGGATAGCAACCCAAAGCCACTGGAATTCTGGGACTTGGGGTCAAACTAACACATTTCAGGATTACTCTCGTGTCGTCCCATCATTCATTTGGCTTTTGTGAGCCAGCACCATTTTCAAGCCTCTGGCAGGCAGCATGAAGGGAACATGTGACCCTGACAATCATTAACATGAACAGGCCGATGCACAGGTATTGGCAGTCAAGCAGCTGGGTGGGTGGCTTTGGATGCCTTGAGAGACAGCCATGGTGATGCTGCACCAATATGGGTGACGCAAATAGAAGAGGAGGAGGACAAAAGCAAGCAGTTACTTCTGCAAGACCATTTTCTGGAGCATTTCCTCAGTGGACTTTCTCTTCTGGGCTTGACCAGCGAGCAGTGACTTGTGGGACAGGATAGTCATGCAGACCAAGGATGACTACCAATGGTGGCAGAACTTCAGAATGACAAAGGCCACGTACCTCGAAAACTGTGCAGAGCTGGCCCATGAGCGGAAGTGGCAGCGCACCAACCGGAGAGTTCCCTTCAGCATAAAGTGTTGTGGTCTTCACTATCTGGAAGCTTGCTACTCTCCCAGTGGCTTCTGGGCAACAGCTAACCAGTTTGGTGTTGGTAAATCAACTGTTGGGGCTGTCATAGAATCAGAATTGTAGGACTGGAAGGGACCTCAAGAAGTCGTCTAGTCCAGTCCGCTGCACTCACGGCAGGACTAAATATTATCTAGCCCATTCCTGGCAGGTGTTTGTCCAACCTGCTCTTAAAAACCTCCAATGACGGCATTTCCATGTGCTACTATTCAGAGAGTGCTGCTAGGCCAGGTCCTAAGGCTTGGCAGTACACAGGAAGTTATTGAATAATTTGAAAGGCTGGGGCTCCTGAATTGTATTGGGGCCACTAATGGTACCCATATGCCTATTGTTTGCCTCCCTGTACCAGATCTCAGAGTTCGTCAACAGGAAAGGATATTTGGGCACGGTGCTGCAAGGCCTGGTTGATCACTGTGGGAAAGGTCGACCAGTATTAATGTAGGGTGGTCTGGAAAGTTCCACGATGCCAGCGTTGTTCGACACTCAGGCCTTTACGGCAACGAGGCCAGAACTGGTGCCATGTGTTGCTACAGACATTCATCATTTGATTCCTCCTGTCACTCTGGGAGACCCAGCTTGCCCTCTGCTTCCCTGGCTGATGAATCCTTTTCCTGAACACTTGGAGAGGAGAAAGGAGCTCTTTAACTTACACCCTGCGTAGCTGCAGAATGACAGGGGAGTGGGCATCTGGAAGAATGAAGGGAAGGTTGACAAGGCTGCTGAGCAATATCTGCCTCTTGTGACAGGTGCTTCCTGCATTTCCCACAACATCTGATGTTGGCAAGAGGTGGAAGTGAAGAAACCCTGTGAATGTTATGAACAGCCAGAGAGGCTGCCTCTGCTAAATGCCACAACTGGTCAGGGACACATGGTCAGGGATGTGTTGTTCTCCTTTGAAGCGAAGGGGTAGTGGGGGAAAATGTATGTAACTTTGTGGTAGGATTTTAATTTTACTTTATGTAGGATTTTATTGTGCTTTGTGTGGGATTTTATTGTGCTTTGTGCAAGGATTTTATGAAACTTTTCAGTTGTAAATAAATAACAAATAGCTGTAAATAAAAACCTTTGTTGAAAACAGCCCGGCACAAACTTTGAAACAATAAAACTGTGGCAGACATGCCAAAAGTGCTAAGTGCACAACTTTGTGCCAATGGAGTCATAAATATGTTTGGAGGGGGGGACCGCTCTACATGTCTTGTGATGTGAGATGGCAAAGGAAAGTCCTGTCCTGTGTAGTTGGGGAAGCAAAGGAGTGTTCCCACTGCTGAGTTCTCGAGGGGCCACAGCACATGGCTAGGTTGGGGTGGTGGATGTGAACTTTAGCCGCACTGTTCTCCAGCAGAGCTATCTGCCGTTGCGTCATCTCCAGCATCTGTGCCTGCATGGGTGGGTTGTCTTTGTCAGTGTGTTCTCTCAGCGGGTCCCTCTACCTCTTCCAGTCCTTGATACCATTGTGAGGGGAACTATCCCTCCGCTTTTCAGTCTTCTGCCTGTGCTGGGATGTAGCCACAAAGTCACTGAGCATGTCCTCTGTCTCTTCCCCTTTGCTCAGAGATTTCCCAGAACTTCAGCAACTGACCACACTCTTGTCCGTGGCATCTGTGGTGTGTCAAGGTGTAAGGCGGGGGGTAGGGGGGAAGAGGCTGATCAACAGCACAAGTATTGTCCCAGTTACAGGGCTGCCCAGAGGATTCAGGGGGCCTGGGACAAAGGGGGGGAGCAGACATAAAACAAGGCGCCACCCACTGCGGCGCTTGTACTCACCAGGCGGCGCTCCGAGTCGTCGTCATCGGTTCCTTCAGTCGCTCTGCGTCTTCGGCAGCACTGAAGGACCCGCCGCCGAAATGCCGCCGAAGACCCGGAGCGACTGAAGGCCCCGCCATCGAAGTGCCGCCGAAGACCCGGACCGCCGACGGGTGAGTAGCCAGGGAAGGGACCTGCAGGGCCCGGGGCCTGGGGCAAATTGCCCCACTTGCCCCCCCCCCTCCCCTCTGGCCAGGCGGCCCTACCCAGTTATAGTTTCCATGGCAACAAAGATCAAATGTTGCTTTTTACTCCATTTCGGAATTCCATT